ATGGCGATGATGATGATGATGATGATGATGATGATGATGATGATGATGATGATGATGATGATGATGATGATGATGATGATGATGATGATGATGGTGATGGTGATGGTGATGGTGATGGTGATGGTGATGGTGATGGTGATGGTGATGATGATGCTGATGATGATGACGATGATGATGCTGGTGGTGATGACGATGATGATGCTGGTGGTGATGATGACAGGATGGTTGGGGACTAATGGCGATGGCGATGATGATGACGATGATGATGATGCTGGTGGTGATGATGACGAGGATGATGATGATGATGATGAAGATGAGGATGATGATGATGATGATGATGACGATGAGTATGATGACGGCGATGGGAGGAGGGAGGAGGGGGGAGAGGAGGAGGAGGAGAGGAGAGGAGAGGAGAGGAGACGCGGGGCGCTGTCTCTTCAAAACGAGGACCCAACACCACAGGATGGTTGGGAAAAACACAGGGAATGAACGTCCAAGCGATGGCGAGACGTCGATTTAAGAAATTGGTCGTTCTCGGTTCGCGAGGGGGCGTCGCGGCCGTCGTTTCTGCGGGTCCAGGTCCGTCGGTTTCGGCCCTAATTAGGTCCTTTTCCCTGAGGGGAGGCTTACTAAAGCGAGGGTTGTCCGCCGCCGAAGGGTTCAAGTTTCTGGTTCCTAGGTTACCGAGGGCTGGGTCGATCTCATTATCGATCTCGTTGTCGATTTTGCCGTCTATATCTTTTTCGATCGATCTCGTTATCGAGCCCATTATCGATCTCTCACTGTCCATGTCCCTCAGTCGTTCTCGCTATCGATAACACTGTTGATCTCCCTATGGATCTCACGGTCGATCTCACTATCGATCTTAGCATCGATCTCACGATCGATCTCACCATCGATCTCACTATGGGTCTCACTATCGATGTCAATGTCGATGTTACTATCCATCTCTCTCTCTCTCTCTATCTCACTTTCGATTTTACAATCGATTGCACACTCGAACGCACCATCGATCTCACGGTCGACCTCACAATCGATTTCATGATCGATCCCATTATCGATCTCAGTATCGATCTCACGGTCGATCTCATTATCGATGCCACCCAAGGGATTTCATTATCGGTATCACTATTGATCTCCTTGTTTGTCTCACAGGCGATCTCATTATCTCTGCCACTCAATCGATCTCAGACTTAGTCTCACTATCGAACACACGATTTATCTTACGATCTATCTCACTATCGATCTCACTCGGTCGATATCGTTATCGATCCCACTATCGATCGCGATCTCGATCCCACTGTCGATCTCGCAATCTAACTCACTTAGTTGACCTCACAACCAATTTCGCGATGGATCTCACGATCGATCTCACTGTCGATATCTCTTTCGATGTCACTGTACATCTCACATTCGAACTCACTTAATTGACCTCACAGCCAATTTCACGATCGATATCACTATCGATATCATTAGCGATCTCACTCAATAGATCTCACAATCGATCTGACTAGCGATCTCATGATCGACCTCACCATCGCTAGCACAACACAGCATTGCATACATAATAGCACGGACCCCCCCGCGCAACGGGAAACCCAGGTGCCACGGGACAGCACGGGAGAGAGAGAGAGAGAGAGAGAAAGAGAAAGAGAGAGAGAGAGAGAGTCCCAGAGAGAGAGAGAGAGAATGAGAGACGCATAGAAACAAATGAGTGAGAGGAACATATCATACGTAGACTGGACAACAGCGTACGTTCGAACTCGACTAGGGTTGGAGGCAGGCCGCTCGAGGCACCTGCGAAACATTCAGAAGTCCACTGGCTGGGGCTTTCTCTGGTGTGGCTTTTTTTGTTGGGGGGGGGGGCGGACGCCCTCGTGGGCTCAGAGGTCTTCTCGCCTCGGGATGCTCTCCGGCAGCCGCGCCTCGCCGCGGGCGCTCCGGGAGTGCCCCGCTCGGCCCGACGGGCCGCCGGAGGCGCGAGGCGCGAGCCACGCGGCCCGGGAGCCCAGGCGTGCGGAGGAGGGGCCAGTGTCGGGCGAGCGGCCCCCAGGGAGACTCCGTCTCCTGGGGGCCACGGCGTGAGCAGGTCCACGACGTCGGGGGCCTGGGGACGGGGCCGTGGCGTGCAGAGCAAGCCGCATCTGGGCGCGAGATGCGTGCCACTGTCGTCGGGGCCCGGAGGCCCTCGCCGCGCCCCAGGACCAGCAAGAAGCGACGCAGGATGCAGAGCCGGTCCAGGGGAGAGGGTCGGGATTTCCGGGGACGCCGTGCTGGAAGAATCAGGACGTGGCATGTTTGGTCGGAGGTTGATAGACCTCCTGCCCTGACACGTCGATTAGCGAACTGGCCGTTTTCAGTTCGCGGGAGGGCGTCGCGGCCATCATGTTTGCAGGTCCAGGTCCGTCGGTGTCGGTCTGAGGCCGTTTTTTCATTAAAGGGGAGGTTTGCTATAAGGGAGGTTTGTCCGCCGCCAATAAGAGGGGCTGACCTATGGGGGTGAAGCAGAAAAGGGCCCTGAAAGGGCACTTTCGGGCCCCTTTTTGGAGCCAGCAGGGGCCTAACAGGGGCCCTGAAGGGCCACCATGGATTTTCCCGTCGGATGCACAACACATGCGTGCAGCGTTCGTAGGTTCAAGAGCATTCTAGGCATGTTGTCGTGGATGCGACGAGCAGCTCCATTTCTGTAGTCGACCCCCAACTCGAACCATACTGTTCTGGGGGTCCCGAAGGCTGGGCGCCGCCCACCCGGTGGCGCTGACCCTGCTACACAACTTGGCCGTGCTGGTGCTCGGCATCGTCTAACCTTAGAACGCCCAGGGTTCGCCAGGGACTGGTTTCTCGGAAGAGGAAAGGTACCGATACCTCCCCCTCGCCCGTTTCCCCATTTCTGGGCCTCCTCGAAGGCCCTCGCCGCCACCGCCGGATTCGCTTCGAAATTCGAGTCAGAATGCACCTTGGGAGAGGTCCTGTGAGTATTATTTTATCGGTACTTTTTGGTTTCCCCAGCTTTCCCTCCAAGACGACGGAAACCCTTGCAAACCCCTTCGGAAACCCTCCGAGAAGCCTCCCCGGAATCCTTCCCCTGAGGGTTTTCGGATACTTCCTCGGGAGGGTCTCGGCCGCTTCATGAGAGGAAGCCAGTCCCTGGCGGACCCTGGACTTTCGAAGTCTAACCCAAGTATCTCCATCCCCGCTGGGCCATGGCCTCTCTTACCAGCCTGGAACATCCCTATCCCTATGCTGGTTATCTCCTCATCACGATGCCAATATTAGGGATTCCCTTATTTTTTAAGGACGCATCCCTAAGATTGTCATCGCCTTTTGGCGTGTCAATCTTAGGGATAAGGATAAGTTCGAGGCTGGTAAATCTCGGCCCCACCAGCCCAACCGCCTGATCTGGGGATCTGAGGGCGGGCCCCGCGAGGCCCGAAGGAACAGGCATGCAGACCAGTTCGATGAGCCGGTCGTCGCTGCCAACGTAAGGGCACCCCTGGGTCCTGTGCGTCGCGTCTTGTGCCCTATCGCGTGCCCTCTTCCTTCAAAGTCGACTGTCTCCTTAAGTCGGGCACGTCCCTCAACGGGAGGAATCTTCAATAATGATTAACAAGATAGTCTGGTGACGATGTTTCGTGTTCCTATGATTTTGCTTGATTCTTGTCTTGCTACTATCAATTGTTCTTTCAAAATCCGCCTGTACGAGGACAAGCCCGACCTAACTGTACTGTATCCATCCCCGCTGGGCCATGGTAGCGCAGTCCCACCCGGCCCAGCCTGGTAGGAGGACTGGCCCCGCGAGGCCCGGAGGAGCAGGCACAGGTGGGTACACAGTCGTTCGGCAGCAAATCATGGGAGCCTGGCGAGCCCTCTTGTGGGGGGTTGCTAAAGGTGTCCCTCGCCCAAGGTACCCCCAGCTTTCCGCTTCAGGTTGGAGCACCTGGGGCCCTCGGCGGCGAGCGAGGGGGGGGAAGTCAGAAGTTGAAGGCCTTCTCAGAAGGCGGCGGGACTTCTCCCTCGCCCCTTCTGAGAGGTTTTCTGTGTCTTCGGGGAAGGCTTGGAAAACTTTTCAGAAGGCCTGGGGACTTCTCCTTCTCCCCCCCTGGGCTCGGTGGTAGCGGAGGCGCATACAGGTACTTTCTGCTAGCAAATCACGGGAGCCTGGCATACCCTCTCAATTCCATCTTTAGCGTCGATGGGCGTCGATTAGCGTCTGACAGTCGACGAGGTAGCGCCGATGATCTAGCGTCGATACGCGTCGATTTAGCGCCAACCAGCGTCGATCGTCGAGGCTCCCATGAATTGCCACCGAACAGTCGGCCAGTGGGGCCAAGGCCACCCACGGGGGGGTGGCGATCGGTAAGGAGGAGGAGGAGGAGGAGGAGGAGGAGGAGGAGGAGGAGGAGGAGGAGGACTCCTCCTCGATGCTCAGGTGCGCCGGGCCGAGGGGCGCGAGCAGGACTGGTAATGCTTCGGGCGGTGCGCAGGCAGCCCCCCAGTCCCCAGGTGGTCCCAGCTGGCCTCAACAGGCCTCCCGAGCCCAGACCCCCGCGCGTTGTGGACGAAGCGCGACGGGAGGTTTTTCGCCATTTGCGGGCTCCAGGGCCCCTCCAGGCCTCGCGGGACCGTCAAACAACCGCTCAGGACGAACAAAGACAGTTCTCGGCAAGATGTCCAAACTTCTGAGGGTCGCGTCATGAAACAATCACGACGTCGGGGGTCTAGTCTAGGAGTATAGCCTCAGCTGGCCTCAACAGGCCCCCCCGAGTAGTCCAGGGCGGTCTCGACACCCTGTGGCTCCCCCTCCGGCGACGCCTCTGGAGCTCTCCGCGCCCCAGGGTTGAGGCGTTGAGACCGCCTTGGGCTACTCGGGTGGCCTGTCGAGGCCAGCCGGGACTGCTCGGGGGGCCTGGTGAGGCCAGCGGGGACAACTCTGCGGGGGCGGGTTGTGCGTGTAGCCCGACGCTTTACGCACCAAGCAGGAGGCCGTGGAGCTGTACCAGATGACCGTGGAGTGCAGCGAGCTGGTCCTCGGGCCCGACGATGCCCGCACCCTGGCATCGCGTGCGGCCCTCGCCGGGCTCCTGCAGGCGCTCGGGCGCGCGGAAGAGGCGGAGCAGTGCTGGCTGCGAGTGGTGGCGGGGCGTGAGGTCACGCTGGGCCCTGGGCACCCCGCGACCGCGAGGGCGTCCCGGGAGCTGGCCGCCATGCTGCAGGAGTCGGGTGCGGCCAAGAGGAGGGTGATGACTAGGGTCAATAAGTCGGGCCTGCTCCTCTACAGGGGAAGTATTCAAGAATAGCTTAAACATAGTACGGGGACTATTTTTGAGCATCTTGGGGTATTGTTTCAGTATTTTTTTTTTTCGTCCAGAATCCGCCTGTAGGGGGACATGTCCGACCTAAGACTAGGGGGTGGATATCATGGCGAGGGCCATGATATCTCTCCTGATTTCATGGCGCCTCTTCTTATTTCAATGCGTCCCTGGTCCCCCCCTGGGACGGGCACATGCCGCCGGCCATGATCCAAGGGAGGAAAAACCACCCGGACCAGACAATTGGCGTTTACTAAACGGCCCGGGGCGTTTACTAAAAGCTCTGCCCTGTTGGATTCCTCCCTTGGGTCCGTTTACTAAGCGGCTTCGCGTGTCGGGGTGGTTATTCAGGGGGGGATTTTCCGCCCTCTGTTGATTTGCGCCCCCCCCCTGGACGCCCCCCCCCTGGGACGCCCCCGAAGGAGCGTGGGGACTTCGGCGCGGCAGAGGCCGCGCTGCAGGCGGCCCTGAGCGCGAGCGAGGCGGCCTCGGGGCCCAGCCACCCCGCCACGCTGGCCTGCCTCGACGGGGGGGGGGACCGGCGCGAGCGCGGCGCCTGCGGGCGCGGCAGGTACCACCGGGGAAAGGGCCGGCGGCGGTGGCCCGGGTGTGTCTCATCGAGGCGGCGGTGGAAGACGTCGCGCGCGACAAGCGGGGGCTTGTCCCACGGCCCTCCTCTCGCGTGGCTTCCGGTCCTCCTACCTCGCTGCCCTCCTCCGCCTCCATTTCCTCCTTCTCCTGCTCCTTCCTCGTCATCCTCCCAGCCTCCCCCCTCGCTCCTCCTCCTCCTTCCTCCTCCTCCTCCTCCTCCTCCTCTCCTCCTCCACCTCCTCCTCCTCCTCCTCCTCTTCCTCCTCCTCCTCCTCCTCCTCCTCCTCCTCCTCCTCCTCCGCTCTCCCTCCCCTGCTCCCCTCCTCCCGCCCTAGGCACCCCCACCCACGGCTCTTCTCCTAGCTCCTCCTTCCTCCTAAAACTCTCCTTAAGCGCCTATCCCTCCCATCCTTCCACCCACCCCACACCCCCCCACCCCCCCACCCTTCACCTCCTTGCTCCTAGCGCTTCTCTCGCTACCAGAAGTTGGTAAGTGAAAATAACTCCTCCTCCTCCTCCTCCTCCTCCCCCTCGCGACATCGTGGCAAGGGTGTTCCGGTGCGCCCTCGAGGCGCGGGAGTCGTCGCACCTGCCGGACTCCCACCCCGACGTCGCGCGCTCCCTGGGCGCCCTCGCGGCTCTGCTCGGCCTGCTGGGCAAGGGCGACGAGGCGGAGGCGCTCGCCCGGCGGGCTCTGCGCGGGCGCGAGGCCGCCCACGGCGAGGACCACGCGGAGGCGCTGGACGCGGCCGAGGCCCTGGCAGACCTGCTGGCCAGCAGCGGCAAGTACGAGGAGGCGGTGGCGCTGGCCAGGCGCGCGCTGCGGGGCCGCAGGGAGGCGCTCGGGGACGCCCACCCTGGCACCCTGGGGCCGCTGGGCCGGCTCGCGGGCTTCCTCCTCGCGTGCGGCAACCACGCCGCGGCCGAGCCCCTCGTCCAGCAGGCCCTGGCGCGCCACGAGGCTGCGCCCGGCCAGTCCAGCCCGGCCCTTCTGGCCGCGGCGGCCAGCCTCGCGGGTGCCCTGCTGCAGGCGGGGAGGCTCCAGCAGGCGGAGCCGCTCGCCCGCAGGGCCCTGCGCGACCGCGAGGCCGCGCAGGGCCCGGACCACCCCGACACCCTGGGCTCCTGCGAGCAGGTCGCGGCGGTGGCGCTGGCCCGCGGCGCCGCCGCCGAGGCGGAGGAGCTGCAGCGCCGCGCCCTCGCGGGACGGGAGGCGGCCCTGGGGCCCTCGCACCCGGCCGCGCTCGCCGCCGCGGCCGCGCTGGCGGGGCTGCTGGAGGCGCGCGGGCGGCCGGAGGAGGCGCTGCCGCTGCGGCGGCGGGCCCTGGAGGGCCACGAGGCGCTGCTCGGCCCGGGGCACCCGCAGGCGCTGGGCGCGCGCCGGGCGGCGGCGGCGCTGCTGGAGCGGCTGGGCCGCGGCCGGGAGAGCGAGCGCCTGCTCGGGGAGGCGCTGCGGAGCGCGCAGGCCGCGCTGGGGGCGGAGCACCCGCTGGCGCTGGCGCTGCTGCTCGACCTGGCGAGGCTCGGGGGTGGAGGAGGCATTGCTGGGCCTCCCAGCTGGGGTCGGAGCAGATGGGGTCGGAGGATCGCGCCGCATCGCCGATGCATCGGCGATGCATCGGCGATGCGGCTCGAGGTTGGGCCCAATTTTCTCCACGCCGACCTCGCGGATGTATCGCCGACGTCGCCAGTGCATGGCCGATGTATCGCCGATGCATCGGCGATGCATCGACGATGCGGCGAGATCCTTCGACCCCATCCCATCTACTCGGACCCCATCAAGGAGGCTTCTAGCGGCATACAGTCGACTACACGTACAGTGGAGACCCATGCCAAGAAACACCTTGTTTGCCTCCAGGGTGCTCTGGGGTTCCCTGGGTTTCGATTGTTTTGCCATGGAAAGCGTGGCGTTCCACACCACACATTGATGGACGTCCTGGGGTCTCAGGGTTGGGTTTGTTGTGGAAGGTTTCTTGTGGACACTGGCCTCCACTGTAAGAGCAACCTTTCGCCAGAGTGGCTTTTGATGCGGGCCCAGCGGGGTCCCCCGATCGCTGAGCGCGATTGCGATGGTGGCGGCTTGCGCGCTTGTGTTTGGTCCCCCGCGGCCCCCACAAGCCGCGCACCCAAGGTCACTCTTTACACAGGGTCACACTTGCGTGTAGCCGATGCAGTCAACCTAGGATCACGATGAGGATGAGCGGTTCTCAAAGGCTACCCTTGAGTCTTTCCCCTGCAGTTGCCGCTTTCGCTGGCAGCCCTGGAAAGGCACTTGCGAAGTGCCTGGCCGCACCCCGCTCGCAAGGCGTCGGCATGGCCTTCGGAGGCCCTTGCATCCTCATCGTGCGTCCTGATCACGTGTGCGTGTCAACTGCAACGACGCCTCTGCTCTTCCTGGGCACCTCCCGTTGCCACGGCCGGACCCTCTCCTCGAGGTCCTGGCCAGAGCGCGCCCGGGGAGAGACTTCTGGCACCGGCGGTATCGGTGCCTCGGATGGCCCCAGATGGTGCGGTGACCACACCGTGCACGAAGCCAGTGGTTCATGGGCCAACCTTCCACCACCGCTATCATGCGCAGGACGGGGAAGAAGGGAGGACGGGGAGATCCTCAAAAAAACCGCCAAAAAGAAGAATAGACAAAAAAAAAAAAAAAAAAAAAAAAAAGCAAACTCAACACACCCCCCCCCCACAAACAAAACCACAAAACTGGCGCCTCCACACAAAGCAAAACAAAACCCCCCCCCACCAATAAAAGGAAAAAAAAAAAAATCCCAGAAACACACTCGCTCCTCCGACGCTCCTGCCCCGCGATCCGTCCTCCTCCTCCGTCCTCCTGCGCTCCTCCTCCCTCCTCCTCCTCCTCGTTCCTCCCGTCCCCCTCCTCCTCCAATCCATTCCTCTCCACCTCCTGCCTCCTCCTCCTCCACCTCCTCCTCCACCTCCTCCTCCTCCTCCTCCTCCTCCTCCTCCCTCTCCCACCTCTGGCAGGGGTGGTGGAAGCTCGGCCCGTCAGTGGGGACTCGGGGTGACCACGCGGTCCTGGGACCGCGGCCGCCCTCCGAGGCCGCCCGTCGGGCGGCGGGGCCCCCTCCGGGGTGCCACCCTGGCCGCGCGGTGGCGGGGCCGCGCCGGGAGGCACGGTCTGTCACCAAACAGGCGACCCCTCAGAGATTCTCAGGTGTGTTCCCCGGGACCGGCTCTTCATCCCGAGTCGTTTTTGTTTGACGGTGCCGGGGATTTGGCGAGAGTCGGAGAAGACATGGCACAAGCAGTCGAAGACGACATACACTGTATAAACATAATTATTGTCTGGCGCTCCGCGCGGATTTCTTGGATCTGAGCTGGTGCCCCCTGGCGGCGCCTCCTGCTGCGCCCCTGGCGCGCTCCGCGCGCCAGGGAGGGGCGTCCAGCGCAGGTCCAAGAAACCCGCGCGGAGAGCCACAAATTTCTGTTTACAGTGGAGACCTATGCCAAGAAACACCCTGCTTGCCTCCAGGGTGCCCTGGGTTTCTTGGGTTTCGATTTTTTTGCTGTGGAAGGCGTGATGCCCCCACACCAAAAATTGATGGACGTCCTGGGATCTCAGGTTTGGGTTTCTTCTGGAAGGTTTCTTGCGGTCGGGCCCCTACTGCATGCCGTTCTCTCTTCTTCTAGAGAGGTTGCTCGCCGACCGCGGCAAGTACAGGAACGCGGAGGCCTTCGCGCGCTGCTCGCTGAGCGCGCGCGAGGCTCGAGGGAAGAAACACGGGGACCATGGCCAATGTGGTGAGCGTTTCTTATTAATTCTTTTGCCGATCGGCGCGGGCCCTCGCACCCCCCCCCTCCCCCCCCGTGGGGTAGATCTTGGCTGTTCTTGGCGCCTGTTGCGAGCAGATGGAGTCTCCCTTATGGGACGAACGGTTCCAAACAGTCGCACTGAGCAGAGGTCCGGAGCCAGACCCCCCCCCGTCCCTCCCCCTTCCGCCAAAAACGTTCACATCTCGCGGGAACTCGTCCGTGCCGGTCTTGGTCAGGGTCCGTGTCGACAGTTTCCGACCTGCGAGGATGATGCACGGCGCGACGCCGACCAAGATCGGCGGCGGCCAAGATCGATACGACGTGTTCGCGCTCCGTCGTCCCACCTCCGTCACCCGTCGTCCGTTCCACGTCCTCCGTCGCCCGTCGCCCGTCGTCGTCGTCGTCCGTCGTCCGTCGTCTGTCGTCCGTCGTCCGCTGTCGTCCGTCGTCCGTGTTCGTCGTCGTCGTCGTCGTCGTCGTCGTCGTCGTCGTCGTCGTCGTCGTCGTCCGCCTTCACGCGCTGCTCGCCGAGCGCGCGCGAGGCGGCCCTGGGCGGCGCCGACGCCGCCGTGGCCGAGGCCGCCGCCGCCCTGGGCGCCGTGCTGCTGGCCGCGGGCCGCGCGCGCGAGGCGGAGGCGCTGGCCCGGCACCCCGGGCAGCGCGAAGGAATTGGGCGTCGCGTCGGGCATATCCCTTCTCGGGGGCGGCAAAGAGGGTGGTGATGACTAGGGGGGGGGGGGGATGCCATGGCGGGGGCCATGATGTTTCCCCAGATCTCAGGGCGCCCCTTCTTGTTTTATGGCGTCCCTGGCCCCCCCGCTGGGCCGCGCACATGCCGCCGGTCATGATTTGCACCCCCCCCTCTTGGACATCCCCCTCTTGGCCGCTCCCGAGTCGGGCAGATCCCTTCCCAGGAGGATATGTCCAAGAATCGCAGACAAGTATCGAGTCGGGGACGATTTCGCGATCCCTGTGCGATCATTTCTGACCATTTCTGCCTAGGTTTATTGGGCTGGCCTCCGGCCAGTGCCGCCGATCTGGGTGGGCTCCGGAAGTGGAGTTTTCTATACCCCCCTGTCCCCGGGTACCGAAAAACGTCGGAAACGACGTCGGAAATATCCCCGTGTACCAGGAAACGTTGGAGATGACGTCGGAAATCACGTGCCCCCCCCTGCAGACCGAAGCTTGAGCGAGCTCAAGTCCACCCTCTCAGAAACTCACACGCCGGATCGGCGGATTTTTTCTTCCAAAATCCGCCTGTAGGAGGACATGCCCGACCTAACGATAGTCGGCGGCGGGCCCCCGGGTGGAGGTGACGGGGTCTGGGCCTCCCAGGTGGGGTCCAGGTAGATGGGGCCGGAGGATCGCTTCGCATCGCCGATGCGGCTCGATGCGTAGCCGAGTTTTCTCCACGCGGACGGCGTCGATGCACCGCCGACGTCGCCGATGCATCGCCGACACGTCGGCGATGTATCGCCGATGCATCGGCGATGCGGCGCGATCCTCCGATCCCACCTACTCGGACCACATCTAGGAGGCCTCTATTTCAGAAGCGACAGTGAGCCTGGGGCGTAAGTGAGAGGGGGCGGGCCTTCTCAGAAGGCTTGGAAGTCCGCCGGCCTTGGAGAGGTTTTCCACGGCATTCCCGATGACCTCTCAGAAGGCCAGAGGGCTTCTGAGAAGTCCCGCCGCCTTCTGAGAAGGCCTTCTCTTTCTCACTTCCTCCCCTCGCTCGCGGCCGAGATAGATGGGGCAGCAAGGGTTGCAGAAAAGGGGCCCTACAGGGCTCCTGAAGGGGCCTTTTAAGTCCAAAGGGGGCTCTTAGGGCCCGAGACAAGTGCACCTTCCCTCCCGCCATCTATCGCCCCCCCATTACAGTGGAAGACCATGCCAAGAAACACCCTGCTTGCCTCCAGGGTGCCTTGGGTTTCTTCGCTTGCGATGGTTTTGCGATGGAAAGCGTAACGTACGTACCCACACCAGAAATAATTTGACGTCCTGAGGTCTCAGGGCTGGGTTTCTTGTGGAAGGTCTCTTGAGGTCGAGCCCCTGCTGTGAGCGACGCTCAAAAAGAAGCGCAACCGCAGCCGATGATCCTTGAACCGTACGTTGCTCGGGCCGGACGAAAGGGGGGGATTGGGAAAGGGGGGGATACAACATTTGCTGCATGCAGCTGGTTTCGGCCCCGCCGCCGGGCCCACTCCTCGATACATGGGCGCCTCCCGTCGCCGGGAGGCGCCAGGAAAATCAGCTACGTGAGCTGATTCTCAAACCTCTCCTTTGCTATCTCCCCCTTTCGCCCGACCCGCACGTTGCGCAGCCCGAGCGTGCGTGTTGCCCCGCTGGGCCGCAGCGCCCGCGTCGTGCGGAGGGGCCTCGGCAGACGAGCACACGCTGGCGCCAATCACGCAGCTCTGGGAGGGCCTCCGTTCGGGGAGTGCCCTGGCAGGCGATGGGCGGCGCCGGGAGGGCAGGGCGACGCGGCGACGGGGACGACGGGATGGATGACAGGGGCGACGTGGGCACGGGGTGTTGGGAGCGCGGGGCGCTGGGCCGACACAGTCAACCCGCATGGTCCTGGCATCGCTCGGACATGTGCTTTTTTTCCTCGGCGAGAACCATCGAGGACCACCCTGAACCATCGAGCAACAAAAAACACGCACGAAACCGATAAATGCACGGGAAGTGAACATCCGAGCGATGGCGAGTGGTAAGGATTGGGCAACCTTCCCAGGGGTGCCCCT